TAACATTATTTTACTGTTATCTCAAAAAGTTTTTTTTAATAGAATAAGGGTGACAAACGAGCACACAGTCCACCTGATGCTAAGTGGTTGCTACGGCCCATACACATCTACATCTATTCTCGATTACGTATCAAAATTTAGATGCTTTGTCACCCGTGAGGACTAAGATGTAATGCCTCATTTCCAGTAAAAAGGTTCTCCGGTTCTGTACACTCACCATACGAAACACAGCAGGGTTAAACTGCTATTTTACATGTTATTCCGTGAGAGCGTGGCCCTTCCCCGGTCGAGCCGACCCATTCGTGCTACAATTATACCTACTACTAATATAGCTGTAGCATGGCTCTACCACGTAAGAAAAAATTGACGTTGAAAAGTTAAGTATTTTTAGAAGCAACTTTGCAATTATTTTCTATTGAGTTAATTTTTGTGGAATCGTGTTTTGCAAACCGCCACCTGAAATATATACAATTTTTTTTTCGATAATGACGTGAAATTATAAAACGATCCCCATGCATTTCAATGTGGCTCTATTCAGCCTCTTAATATGAACATAATTCGGGATTCAGAGATTTTAAAAGTTTTCATGCGTAGATAATGGAAGATATAATATTATATTATTACTGTTCCGTGTGAGGTAACCTTCATACTTATATACATATTCTCATCATATTTTTATGGTTGGTTAGAAAAATTATATCTAAATCCAAACTTTCACAGGGTAAATTTTTTTTACTATTTTTACGCAGCAAGTAGTAAAGCAACTACAATCCCATCGGTAAGTGGTTATGTAGTCTAAGATGGTGAATTGCACTGACTTAACAAAAACCTATTCACTCTTGTTGTGTGTGTGTGTGTGTGTGTGTGTGTGCGTGTGTGTGTGTGTGTGTGTGTATGTGTGAAGAAAAGCGTATGAGAATACCTGAAGAGGAAAAAAGGTTGAGTACTAATTCGCTTACCTGTACGAGGTTGCCACTCGAGGACCTTTCTTCCTATTTTTTATCTGTTTTCCAAGTTATATAGCTAGCCCATTGCCATTTCACTGTAATAGTCCGTTGGGCTATGTCAGTTACTCTGGTTCTACTGCGAATATCTTCATTTCTAACTTTATCACGTAGAGAAACCCCTCTCCAATTTAAAATTTTTACATTTTTTAGATGATAGTTTGTCTAACATAAAAAAAACCATAAACCCAAGAATGTCTTTATATATTTATTTATACTTAGGTAAGCATCATTCTTTTATTTATTTAAATTGTTTGATTTAATTTGATAACAGTGTACCTAAATGTAAGTAAGTATCTGTATCTTTATTTTCCTCCCCAATAATATTTTATAAAGTCATACTCATAAAAACAGCGTTTTATTGTAATACATAATTATAAAATTCAGTATCAACTAATTAATAAAAATATGCAACAATAAAATTACATAGATATTAAAAACTATCGAAATCTAAGTAACGAGAGCATGTTCGTTGTTCCACATCTAAATTATATAAAAATGCATTTTTCAATTTTACTAATCAACGTCGCCGCCAAAATTTCTTCTTCTTTGGGCACTTTAAAAATTCATTTATTTAGAAAATAATATTTACAGTTACCAGTGTACAGATATTAACTAAATTAAGTATTTCTAGTCATAAAAATATTTATAATTGAGTATAAACTTTCAAAAAACTAATATATATTTGAACGAAGTCGCTCCAACACCGACGTGCGATCCACCCTCGACGATGTCCGAAAACGGACCACAGAACACTAATACCCTTAGGCGAAACGGACTGTGACAGAGCTTACATGGCGACGGAGCATGCGCGCTCGCGTAAATATATTCAATTTCAGGGAAAAATGATATATTCTCTTAAAAAACGGGTAATAAAAATAAAACTCTCAATTAAAAATATTAATATTTTTAAGACATTTTTTTTAGTGTAAGAACTATTTAAAAAGCTTGTGCCGGTTTGGAGAAATTTTGCAAAATATGACAAAGATAGGTACTCTTTGGGGACTTTTTTTCTAATAAAGGGTTGACAAAAATACAATTTTGTTAAATTAAAAACATTTACCAAATCTTCTTCTGTTACCCTGTATTTTTTCTTTGTGGATTAAATGAACAGTTATTGAGATTTTTTTACTTAAATATCCTAGATTTAGGCATTTCAACCACTGTTAAGGCCTTAAAGTGCAATCGCACATTGCACTTTAACCCACTGTCGCTGCTATTACTTGCTGTCTAATTATATAAACATTTTCTTTGGCTTTAGATAAATAATTGCTGCGGCCGCAAATATTTATCTAATTTATAAATTATTTATGATACATCCAAGTTTAATCAACCGCAAAAGTATCTGCATTTCGGCTTTTAGCCATAACATATACACTTGAAAACGTTTTTTGAGATTAATATAGTCATTATTTGTTATTAAATATTGTATCATAGCAATCTCGAAGATTTATATATTTCAATTAGAACCAAAAGAATGGGCATTTTAAAATCGGTTTTCTTGCCATTTATATAACAGTAAAAATATTCAATATGATGTGAGGTTGTTAAATAAAAAACAACAGTTAATAAATAAATATACCTTTTATCATTTTACATCCCTCAGTCAATAGTGACATACATATTTATACAACTATGTACATTAAATTAATCTACAAGCAAATTAATATAAATTTACACCTATTTTGAAAACTATTTTAAAATTAAATTATATTTTAAGTTATCATCTTAAATGCTATTGATAACATAACATACAGTGCCACCAACTTATCTGTTCAGGTGGACAAAATTGGAACTAATGCCGCCATTTTGTAAATGACATTTCGCTGTCAGTTATTATTTATTCTGAGCTATCAGGTGAATGTTTTTAAAAAGTGCAATTAAAATGCCTAAAGCTCTTAAAAGTGATGCGCGACAGATTATCCTAAAAGTTTTATCTTTTATGAAAGAAGAGAAACGTGTACAAGCCCCAACTATACCATTTGAAAAGCTGTATGAGCGCGTTGCTGCCGCGACTGGTTAGTATTGCCAGATATGGAAAATTAAAATCACCAAATAATGTACTTGTAAAACATAGTAAAAAAAATTATCTCAATTTACTGTAATTCGTCTAAAGTACCTAGCTTTGTAGTTTGTGGTCTGTGAAGTAGCTTTAGTGACGGCATATACACGGGCTTACATTTATTTAATTTTACCTATACAATAATTATTTGTCGTTTCGTTACAGGTGTTTCTGAGCGATTTGTACACAAACTCGTAAATGAAGAGAAACACGCTGAAGAATCCAATTCTAAAATTTCTACCCCTGGCAAAAAAAGGCAAAGAAAAACCGAGAAGCAAGAAGTTGATAATTTTGACATTGGTGTTATAAGAAGAAAAATTCACGAATTTTATTCAGTGAAAAAAGAAATCCCTACAATACCCAAATTACTGAGTATTTTAAAGGAAGATATTGATTTCAAAGGAGAACGTGAAACTCTTCGAAAATTGCTTCACAAAATAGGATTTCGTTATAAGAAAACGAAATCAAATAGAAAAGTGTTGTGCGAACGTAACGACGTAGTTGCATGGAGAGCAACCTATCTACAAAAAATTAAAGAAAATGAGCGTGGTGAAAAAAGACCTGTTATTTATTTAGACGAAACTTACATTCACTCGTCTCACTCAACTGGGAAATGTTGGCAAGGTCCTGAAGAAGATGGTGATTTGGAACCTGTTTCGAAAGGTAATAGGTGGATCATAATCCATGCAGGTGGAGAAAAAGGTTTTGTGGAGAATGCCCTTCTCGTATTTAAATCAAATACAAAATATGGGGACTACCATGATGAACTGAATAGCATTAATTTCAAAAAATGGGTATATGAAAAATTACTACCTAATCTGCATGAACCTTCGCTCATTGTAATGGATAATGCGCCATACCATAGTATTTGCGTAAATAGGTGTCCTAATTCAAACCACAGTAAGGCTGATATGCAGAAGTGGCTTGAAAAAAACAATGTAAGTTTCAATGAACCAATGACAAAACCTCAGCTTTATGAATTAATAAAGAGAAATAAACCTGCTCCGGAATACGAAATTGATAAGCTGATGAAAAGTCATGGCCATGCTATTCTTAGATTGCCGCCTTATCATTGCGACTTGAATGCAATTGAAATGATATGGAGCTCTATGAAAAGGAACATAGCAGACAAAAATGTTGAATGTGAAAATCTAATGTTCTAATGCCCCAATTAATTGAAGATGCATTTAATAAAATTACACCGGTGCAGTGGAAAAACATATGCAATCATGTGAAAAAAAATTGAAAATGAATACAGACTAAAAGACGCGTATTTAGATGAACCCTTTATTATAGAGTGTCAGAGCGATAGCAAAACCGATTCCAGTTACTCAGAAAATGAATTATTGGAACCAGTATCTAACGCGGGTACATCTTTCAAAACAGGAATTCCTGGAGTTCGACCGCTTGAACTCCGAGACCACGACCACAATTATTTTTATAAAATATAAATTATATATATATATATATATATATATATATATATATATATATATATATATATATAATTTATATATATATATATATATTAACACGAAATTTGTTTTATTTTATATTATGTGTAATGAATATGTAGTCACCTATTTCCTCGGTAAATTTCTTAAATGGCAATAGTAAGCACTCCACTAGCGACTCTGTCAACTGAACAGATAAGTTGGTGGCACTATAACCTAATAGAAAGTAATAAATAACATTTAATAGTAATGCAGATATCATATAAATATCCAAGATATAATTGTCTATATTTTTTTAATTTAATATGAATAAAAAAAAGAAATTAAACATTGCTGTATTCAAATGTTGCAATATAGGTATGGGAATATTTTTATTATAGGAGTCCATGCATGCTTTAATCTATGATGGATATTATACAAATAAATGTATAATCTATTCTACCATTTTATATAATATACATTATATATCAAGTAATAAGTTTACTTAATGAAATGAACAGCATCTATCAAAGAGGAATCACCAGTACGCTCCTGCTTTCTCTTACATTTTGGACAAGGTGTGTTTGCATTAAGACATTTAGCATGAAAAACACTTGAGCATTCATCACATCTGTAAGTTATACTTGTTTCAAAGGGGTACAATATTTTTGGATCTCGACAGACTTCACATATAAATCCCTTTTGACTACAAAGCCAACAATCAAGCACATGTGATTTAGCAAAATTAACCACCTTCTCCAATTGCAACACTAAGGAACCATTAGGTATTTGAGCAAGGTCAGATATTGTGTATAAGTGCACATGGTCATACAAGTACTCCCTAGGCCAAACCCTTTTTTGTAACTCTTCAATAACTGGTTCTCTACAAGTAAATATATAGGACCTTAAAAAATTAAGCTGTATTCTTAATTCTTGAAGGTGTGCCATGTCTGAAACACCACAATATATCTTTGGATTTAGCTTTTTCATATCTATCCATGGATTATGTTGAAATTCTAACAAAAAGAGTGCAGATTTTTTTGAAACTGGATATCTTTTGAAATCCCAGTTGTGTATAACTCGAGCTGGAATTATAAACACATTTGGATCCATACAATTGGAACAATAATATTCTCCAGTGTAGCCACATACTTTTGCTTTAGAAACTGTGCTGCCTAATAAGTCTTGACAACCTTTACACTGGTAATTTTGATGATCTAGTCCCTTTTCAGTCGATAATGTTCCAAGTTGCTGTACCAGTTTCTGCAATTCTTGGACACTAAAAGAGCCTGTAGAATTATTAGGCACAACTTCAAAATCTAAGCCATACAATGCAAGTTCCTCTGGTACTGTATTTTCTACTGTTAGATCACAAATATCATTATCCTCAGTTGTCAACTTTAATTCCTTGTGAATATCTTTCATAATATCTCTTAAATTTGGTGTATTTGCATATGTGTCACCAAAGTTACTTGAATGATCTAACAGAGAAGATAGGCTTTTTAATTCCGGAGTTTTAATAAGGCTACTTCCATGGGACGAATTTGAATTTATTGATGTATTTAATTCATCATTATTGTCTGTTGACCATCCTTTTCCACATAATGAGTTTCCTGTAACAAGCATATCTGATGATGTAATAAAATCTCCAGATTCAATAGATGAAGGATACACCTGAACTTCTTGATCTTGACTAGTAGTTGGTCTCTCAATATCAACAGTAATAGAAGCAGTAAGATGCTTATGGTAGTTGTCTTTTTTTCCTTCAGCAACATTCTTTTCTTCGATTTGTGGTTTATCAATTCTATTAGTAATATTGTTTGAATCCTTTGAAAGAATAAAATCTAAAGCTTCATCTTCATTTAATGCCAACATTCTGCCTAACCCTGTAAGGTTAGATGTTCGTGTTGGTGTAGATGATAATTTAGTTTTATTTTCATCAGAAAGTGTACTGACCACATCCAAGCCAGCACTAATAGGAGCAGCTCTCATTGTAGGTACCCATATCCCCGCTTGCATTAGCACCTGTTCTGGCCATTGATTTAATAAGCTTGAATTTATCGGTAAGTTAAACTGAACACATGATTCTAAACCTTCAACGAGTTTCTGTGCTACCTCTAATATTTCAGAATCACAAACAAATGCTGATCGATTATAAAATGGTTTAACGGCTGATATATTCTTCAATAATGTAGCCATGTATGATGATAGCAAACAATCGTTAAGAGCAATTCGTAACCAAGCACGGCACTGACCTATTTCTGTGTTTATTTGTGGTAGTGAAGATATGTGATCAATATTTTGTCTATGAGATAAAACAAGTATAAGAGGCCAAAAACTAGACTGCGGACGGTAATCAGGATCACCCGATATAACATTTTTAGCCTTCCTTAGAAACGTGTCCTTTAAACCATGAAGAAATACTGCTTCCAAAGCCATACATAATGTATTTGTTGAGTCAGTTGATCCAAGAACACTATGGAAGTTTTCTTCAAATTGACTATTGTATTGAATGTCTTTGACACAATCTGACAAATTATTTATCAATGATTCTTTAAGAATAGAATCACGATTATGTTTGCCAAAACCAGAAGCAACGTTCTTGAAAAACGACATTTTTTTTATTTTGCAAAGTAATCAACTAGATGAGTTAATAAAACGTATTCCCTATTGGAAACTCCGGTTGTGATAGAAAACGCATTACATGCATTTTACAATGCCAAATTGCGATTAAAAGTAAACACTCTAAATCACTAAACATAACAAAGTAATAAACATCTATCATCTACATAAACGTCAAAAACCACAGCACAGATAACTATATAAAACCCGTAGATAGAGGAATAAAACCTCGGTAGAAATTTACGCCGGCCATAAGGCTCGCCACATACATACGGAATTCCGTTTCGAAATTCCGTTTCGATATTCCGATTCGGAATCCCGAACGCAGCAAGTCCATATAAAATCTACGACCCGCCACACACGTACGGTAGTTTTCCTTTCTATATTTTGCGGGCAAAACGGGATTCCGTTTGTGTGTCGCCTACCGTTCGGAATTCCGAAACGGAATCTCGAAACGGAATTCCGTATGTATATGGCGGGCCTTATACATACGGAATTCCGTTTCGATATTCCGATTCGGGATTCCGAACGCAGCAAGTCCATATAAAATCTATGACCCGCCACAGACGTACGTTATTTTTCCGTACGGAATTTCTCCGTATCGAGATCCGTAAGGCCCGCCATATACATACGGAATTCCGTTTCGAGATTCCGTTTCGGAATTTCGAATGGTCGGCCACACACAGACGGAATCCCGTTTTGCCCGCAAAATATCGAACGGAAAACTACCGTACGTGTGTGGCGAGTCATAGATTTTATATGGACTTGCTGCGTTCGGAATTCCGAATCGGAATATCGAAACGGAATCTCGAAACGGAATTCCGTATGTATGTGGCCGGCCTATGACCACCTGTACGTTCGGGACTCCGAACGGAAAAAAGCCACTCCGAACGCACGTAGATTTTGTACGAGTCGCAACACACATACGTAAATTCCGTAGAGAATGCGCTCAGTGTTCGTCGCACGACCGAAGCGAGTAGGTGTGTTTATGTATGTTTTTAAATTCAATCTTGTAGGTGTATAGCTTTTCGTAACCTTACATCTTATTTTATTTAATAATTCGTCGAAAGAATTTACATACTAAATATTTAAAAAATATCTCTGGATAGATAGATCTTTTTACATAGTATTGACTATATTGCAAGCTTAAGGTGATAAGGAGATGCACCTAGTAAGAATGATACAGCAACAATGGAATCGCAATTAGAAAATCGTCGTCATTATTCGCTGGCAGAATGTCTAGACTCAATGGCTAACGTCTCTCAACTGACCCTTATTATTCCGAACGAAAAAAAAACGTATAAGTGTGGTGTAAACTATGGAGTGTAGAGTAGAAGGAGGACCATCTCTGTATATGAAAAGTGTCCCTAAAAACGCGTCCAATAAGGGTGGCGCTGCAGTAGCATAGGATAAATTTAAAAAAAAGCGGCAAAATTCATTAGAATAAGATGGAGAAATAAACAAGGACCGACCAATCCGCTTGGTTTTGTACTACGTAAATAGTTGAGGTTTTGTATACTAGCATTTTACTAACTACTCTAGTCATGAATATTTTTAAATATTTTAATTCAGCTGACTTCACTCCGTCTACAACAGCTATATTCATATCGTAGTTTTTCAGACGCCAGCGCTATTGTGGTAGGTTTTGGAACCTCTATTTTCAGTATATATTGGGACACTTTTTCAACTTTCGCACCTTATAAGATGGTTCTCCTTCTACTCTACACTCCATAGTGTAAACGGAATCCCAAATCTTAGAGTACATATTCACTAAGAATTAGTAGAGAACATATTATAGTCTGGCAAACGAAAGTAAATTAAAAAATCTCAGCCTAGCAACCCCAAAATTTGTATGAAGTACCTGGAATAACTTGATACTTTAGATTTGTTTTTGTGTAAAACATTTGCACACTACTACTTGACAGAATGTGGACAGTTCCAAAAATAGGAACCAACGGTAGCTGTTGTATGTAAAGTCGTATTTTTAATCAGACGAAGTAAACTGAAGTTTCGAGATATAAAATCATGTCTACCCGTTATGATCCAAACCAAAGAGACATTTCGTGCGTGGTATTTCGAAAATCAGTTTACTTTGTTGGAATAAAAATACGACTAGGTATTATGTGATATTATCTGAATAAAAAAAAACAATATTATGTAATAATTTTGGTTTATTCACTACCATAATCGAAATCTGAATCTAGGGTTTCTATGTGGAATGATTCATTTGACCCACTGGAATCACTATCTGCAACATGAATAATAAAACTTTCTAAATTATCTTCTGTTATTCTATCCCTTTCTTTATTATTTATTTTCAATGTGAACTACATGATCAGTCATTTTCTTCCATTCCTTTGGAGTTACACTTTCAAAAGAGTCTTTAATGAGTTTCTCTAATTCCACAGCAGTCAGAGCAATATTTTTACTAGCCACTTTACGTTTAGCCAAACTCCATACCACCTCAATCTCATTTAGATCGCAGTGGTGGAAGTAGCAATACCTCATGCCCATTCTGCTTCAGAAGTTCATCAGCTTCATATACTGGCTCTGGTGTGTTTCGTTTTACAAGACATAGCAGCTCTGCTTTTATGCGATTTTGTTCGAATGGAATATCATTCAAAGTAAGCCATTCTCTTATATCATTTTTGCGACTTTGTGATGTAGGAGCTTTATTTACAATGATTGAATGGTAACTGGCACTATCCATAACTAATACACTCGGCTCATTTGAATTGGGTATAAGCTTTTCTCTTAGCCATTTATTAAAGTTAACGACATTCATGTCGTGGTGGTAGCCTGCCATTTTCGATTTAGTGCTAAATACTAATAATGAGTTAGGCACAGGACCTTTCTCCGAGTAGTTTTTATGAATATAAGTCTCATCTAAATAAATGATTGGCGTTCCTTCTCTACGTATCAAAGCCATAGTTCTTAAAATCCGATGTCTCCAGGCAGATATGTCATTACGTTCAATTAACAATGAACGCTCATTATTATTTCTCTTAAATTCATAGCCTATAAGCTCCTCAGACCCGAGACCACTTTGTGTTTGGTAATGAAATAAAATTTTAAACGCAGACTTATAGACCCCTAAATGATAAAAAAAAATATTTAAAAAAATTATAAGTTATTAGTTTTTTTTTAATTGTACGTCTCCTATACAAGACTCTGGGTTTTAACATGTCAATTTTCTAATACTGTAATCAAAACGAAAAAATATGAATTAAAACGTTTATTTAAACAAAAACGTTACAGTTACTTAGACAGATTCATGATAGCGTTTGTAGCAATTTCGTCCTACTACAAGGCATAAATGCATGTTACAAGTAGAGCAAAACACTTTAGCTTTCTTGCTTTTACATCCTGGCATTCGGCATCTGTGATTGTCATTTTGTTCATCAATCAATGGCAAATGACCAGCCATGGCTGTCCTCAGTTGAACTGGAGGTTGAGGTATACATTTTCTTTTACGGCTCCAAGGTTGTGCTTCTTCTGTTGAGTCGTCTGAATCTACTTCATGAATTATGTGTATCTGTTCCCTCGCTGGTGTAAAATAAAGTAATGAATTTGCAATTTGCACTTTGAACTCCAAGTAGTCCAAAATGTTTTTTTTAGGGCATTCTAACAATTTAGCTTCATTCCTGTATACAAGCCATCCAGCAGCTGCCGCAAAGTCAAAGAAGTGGAAAACCAGACGAACAGTCCATTTTTTGGAACGTGCTCTAATTTTGTAAAAACTGATGACCCTGTCCAACATATCTACACCGCCCATCATGGTATTATATTGCTCTATTGCAAATGGTCTGTCAATTTGGATATACTGTTTAGTTTTTTTACACCAACGTCTGCATTTGTTGATGGGTTCTTTGGAATCAACAGATGATGCCATTATTACTGGTTTGTTATCAAACCACTTTAGACATGCCACATTACCGTTACTGCGAACGAGTTGATCCGAAGAACCACGTCCTTGTTTTCTCAACTCATTGTCAGATTTGAAATTGCAGTTTTTAGGTATGTTTGCCTTTCTAAGAGTACCTGTTGCCTGCATCTTCTTTGAACGTAATTTGTCCAGTAAATCCAATGATGTAAAGTATCTGTCCATGTATAACTTAACTCCTTCAGGCAAAGTTTCAGATAACTTCAGCACAACTTTTCCGCCAATATCAAGACCTTCAGCTTCATTGGTTGTGAGTATTGTATCTCCTTTGCCCTCATACATGAAGAAGTCTAAAGGCACACCATCTGGAGTAGTGCACACGAAGTTTTTTAAACCACAGGGGTTTGGTTTTCCTCTTATGAACTGCCGCATTGATACTTGACCCCAAAAGGGTATCATCTGCTCATCTACACTAATATGTTGAGATCTGGGAGTTTCTAGGCAAGCTTTTCTCACAGTTTTGATCAAAGGGTTAACTTTCCAGAATTTATTTTGCTTGGATGCTTCATCCACCTCAAGATCATTTACAAGTTTCAAATTTGTCCGAATTTTAAAATAACGGTCTCTAGTCATGCGGTCTGCTATCATTGCAACCCTTGTCCTGTTTGCCCAATACATTCTAATCCTTGGCAAGCCCAAATAACTCATAGCTATAGATATGCCAAAAAACAATTTAATTTCTTCCTTAGTTGTGTTCAGATTTTGACCTTTCTTCAATAAGTATGTCTGGTTTGAATAATTACTTATTATTTCAAACATTACTTCAGGAATATATCTCAAAAATATTCAATTGGTTCTTGTAACAAATTAACGCGACTTGCAGCTAAAGGTTGACAGTACATGCCTGGTGGATATGGAGTGAAATCATTTTCATGCTTGAAATATAGTCGACGACTTGAAGTCTGACGAGCAGCAACAGCAGCCAATGGTACGTCATCATCGCTCGAGTCGTCGTTTGAACCTTCATCCTCCAGCTCTTCCAGGCGTGGTTCAAGATCTTGACTGCCTTCGAAGTCATCGTCAGAAAGGCCTTCAACGGTAGAATCATTGCCATCAAACTCTAAAATTCTTGCTATGTCGCTATCCGTCATATGGACTGCAATACAAAACAAGTAAATGAATAAAACGATCGGATGAAAACAATTAAAATACCTATAAAAATATTAAGTCTGAAACCCCATGTCCCCTCTACGGGACAATCATGTACTTGACGCGATACTCGGTTTTTTCAATAAGTGACATCTACATTGAAGTAAATGTACTAATAATTAGGAAGTTACACTTTGATAGGCGCTGGAGGGCAGTACTAGAAAAAAGGTCTCGTATAGGGGACGCCAAGTCCTAGGAGGATAAACAATAATAAGTGGCGAAGAGTTTCCCGGCATCCGTTAAATCCAATGCTTTCTCGTAATTCCACTAACAGAGTTCTCAACGTAGGAACTTGTTTTCTTTTAACGAATAGCATATATATCTAAACTATCTAGGTTGCACATTGTGGATTTATGTGGCTGTTTTTTCCCTGGAGTATTCCAGACACCTTCATTTACCACACCTTCCTTTTTATTCTTTTTAATATTATAACACTCACTTCTGTAAAGAATGATGAAATAGAATTATTAGGTGCTGCTTTTTTAATAGCAAATCATGTAGTAAATTATATCATTGTATTTGTATGTATGTATTTAGTAAAAACTTACCAGTGATTGAAGCTATTTCATCCAAGTACTGGTTCTGGGTACTTATCCTGTCATCCTGTAAATCATTAAGTTTTTCAATAGTTTTCACTATATCATCAACCCCTGCTACATTCTCAAGATTTTCTGTAAAATAAAACAATTTGTCTTAAAATTACAATGCCACACAATGCATAATAATGCACAACAATGCATAATAATGCATTTGTAGCGAGTAGGCAAGTAATCTCGCTCCACATCGAACGACCCTTGACGTCACAAGTGGTGTGATATAAGAATCTAAGCGCCCCACATCGTACGATCCGTGACGTCACAAGTGGCGTGATCTATGATGATTACTCATCGCGCAATGCAATGCTATGCACTGCCCATCGGTGCACTCGAGCCCGCCTTCGCAAGACGGCCGCATACCTATTGTTCGGACGGCACACTACGAGGACAAGTGACTGCTCACCGTTCACACAATCTATTGTTTACGTTAGGCAGCCATAATGTTAGTATCCCTACTTCATTTAGATGGCGTGTCAAGTGGGAGCGTAATCTTAATCTATATAAGGCAATGTAATATTATTTGTAAGGCTGATAATTTTGTAAAACTCAAGTAAATAGCTCGTATTCACATCTTACGTTTTAATACTTCTGCCATACTAGTCAGTACAACAGTTAACTTCGATAGGACCCGGGTTCGATTCCCCGGTTGAACATTGAAGCACGTAAACGATCCTGGTGTACTCATCCAGCTCGTTTCACATTCTAATGGTGTTTAACGTAATTTAAACAGAATGTGAACAAAACAGAAATAGTCTTTGTAAAATCATAGATAATAATTACGAATACAAACAAAGTATTATATCAACATCAAAGCGTCGTAGTAACTTATGAAATCCAATAACACACGTAAACCATTTGTTTCTGATTAAATTGAGCGTCTTTCTCCTGTTATTTTTCTTCAAACTTCGAAATCATGCGAAACAACATCTCCCGCACTCCACTTTTAATCGTTTTATTCATGTTTAAGTTGGAAAAATGCTTTAAAAAGTCACAAATCACAATAAATCAACAACAGCACCCCATCTTGACTTTGACAAATTGTGATTTACATAAATAAAGCATTGCTATATGAAAAGTTTGCATATAATTCGAGTGTCTACTTTCTTTTGCCAGACTCTACCATATAAATGTATATAACAATCTTTACATGCGTTAGCATTATATTTTCAAACGTTTTCAATAATTAAACTAAGAAAAAATTGTCTGTGTAATAGGTTTTCCTTTTTTCACTGCTAAAAATTTCAGCTTTAGAAATGGAGCTGGATTTCATAATCCACTGTTTTCGTTTCTTCAATGATGAAATCATGCAGAAACGAAAACAGTTCCACATGTCACATGTTTCCTTAAAGACCAGCGCTCCTCAACCTTCTACTTTGCAGCTAACTGAAAAGTTTAATTAAATTGCAATTTGCAAGTTGTTTCTTATTTCAATGATTATTTTGTCATATTGCACAATAAATTAGTGTTTCAGAAAATACATACCTACATATATTATATATATACTACATAGTCTGTATTTTGGTAGCCGTGAGCCGTGGTAGCTCAGATGGTAAGCGCTCGCTGTAAGTTTCACAGTACGTGAGAAACCCGGGTTCGATCCCCGCCGGCACCAATGAAATGGTATATTTAATTGGTGGTTAATATATTTCGAAGACATGTGAAGTTCGTCAACACGCATTGACCTTTACTTAACCTAAAAACCCTCTTAGAAATGAGAGGAGGCTTGTGCTCAGCAGTGGGACGTGTATATAGGCTGTAACTTTAAACTATACGTGGTAGAGCCATGCTGCAGCTATATAATGAGTCGGCTTGACCGGGGAAGGACTACGCTCTCACAGAATACCAGCGTAAAATAGCAGATTAACGCTGCTGTGTTTCGTATGGTGAGTGAAGAGAACCGGAGACCCTTTTTACTGGAAACGAGGCATTTCATCTTAGTCCTCACGGGTGACAACTCATCCGCATTTTGATTTATAATGGAGGATAGATGTAGATATCTGCGGGCCACAGCAACTACTTACCATCAGGTGGACCGTGTGGTCGTTTATCACCCTTATCCTATAAAAAAAAAGAGTTTTGGTGAAAACTTGACCGGTAGTGGATTGCTGCTCCTGTATT